CACGCGGAGCTGCTGTGCGCGCGCCTGCACGAACTGGGCGGTGCTGACCCCACGGCCGCGCATAAGCTCCTAGATACGCTGTGGACCCGCGGGCCTCATGAGCACGTGCTAAGCGTGTTGGGCGAAGCGCTGCTGCGCGGCTTAGACCTGGAGCTCGCCGGCGCCGCGGACTGTGTGGGAGCAAAAGAGACACCGAAACTGCTGCAGTGGCTTCTAGAAAGCCCCGAGGTCTTGGTCGCTTTCTGCCGCCAGCTGCCCGCCTTGCGCCTGGCCTCCTTGGCCGGCTGTCACCCAGCGCTGTCTCGCGCCTACCTGGACCTGCTCACAGCCTGGGCCACGCAGCTGCACTATGACCTGCAGAAGGGCTTCTGGAGCCCCACGCAGCCTGAGGACATGCCCTGGGAGGAATTGTGCCTCCGGCTGCACAGCCTGTGCCAGGCCTCACCACTCTTGCAGGAAGAAGTGCTGGAGAGACTGCGCGGCCGCAGAGCTCTAGATGGAGATTTCGAGGTTCCCGGGATGAGCATCTGGACGGACCTACTGCTGGCCCTGCCTGGTGGTGCTTAACACTGAGTGTGGGAACATGTGGGACGAGATTCTCAAGTCCCAGACCAAGCATCTGGACAGACCCCTCTCTGGGAGCAATGGAGGGAACAGGAAACACACTTCTCACCCAAGCCTCCGGTCTCTATATCTCTATGCATAGTGTCCTGCTACTACTTGAGTATACAGTTTACAAAATTTCAGTGTTCTCACCAACGGCCTGTACTACATGGTCCCAAAACCTAATTATTTAGGTGCCAATTTTAAGTGTCTAGTAATACAAGTACAAATGTTTTTTTTTCTTTTCCATTTTTTTTTATTTGAATTAGAAACAAGATTGTTTTACATGTCAATCCCAGTTCCCGCCTTCCCCTCCTCCCTTGCTACCCAACTAAAACCCTACCTATCACATACCCTTTCTGCTCTCCAGGGAGGGTGAGGCCTTCCATAGGGGGTCTTCGGGGTACAAATACTGTTTTTTTGTTTTGTTTTTTGTTAAAGTGATAATACCGTGAGTTTTCTAGATACTGAAGTAGTGTTACTTCCCATCTGTTGGTGGATCTGAGATCTTGCCCATGTTAGGCAAGTGCTCCACCACAGAGCCACAACCCTACCCATGGAAGAACTCTTGAAGCCATGGAATTTTCAGCTTATTTTGTATAAGGCTAATTTGTAAGAATACTAAAGATAGATGCACGTTTTAAAGGAAAAAGCAGCTTTAAAATTTTCAAGGCCGCTTTTTTACCCTATTAATTTACTTATTTTCTGACACTCTTTTCACTTTAATAGTCAACATTTTTTGTTTGACCAGGAAACACATGGTAGCACCAAATGTTACTTTCAAAGTTGACTGGGCTATAGTCAAAAGTCCTAGATGTGCCTTCTTTAACCTGTTTACCAACCTTAAAGTGCATTAAAGCTGTGTTGATCAGAAAGTTTTGTCCCTCCTTTGTACAAGTCACTACTGTGAAAGTCAAAATAGCAGGATATTAGTTTCAAGCATTCCTTGAATACCCACGAAGTGTTTAGGGCACAGTAAATATAAATATATCCTTTTGGATATCTGGATTGGATGATAAAGGAATCAAACTAGTGAGACAATTGAGGCCGCTTGTGCTATTCATCAGGTCAATAGCCCCAACCTGGTGCCATCCTAAAGTGTTTAAATATTTGACACTAGATGGTTGCTGGATGGAGGCTATTCGGGGTGTTTGGGGACTAAAACCCTAACTTGGTTTGTCTGCTTGAATGCTCTAAACTTAACAATAAGTAGTTTTGTTAGAAAATAACTTTCCAGGGATCAACATAACTTTCTCCATGTTCACGATAACTGAGACTTAAAGAGTTTTTGGTAAATACCTATAACAAAATTAATTCTTAATTCTAGAAATGGAAATAGAGCAAAAGGATATGTAATGTAGACTTTTAATTCTGTGTTAGAACCTGAGTATAAATTATGACTCAGTACTTTCTAAGATTATTGGAGGAGGAAAGCAATGTCAAATTTTTATTTCCCTATGGTCAGATTTCCTTTTTCTAAAACTGATCTTTGTAAACCATCTTTTGTACCTTATGTATTCTGACTGGATTCCTTTGTGCATTTACATAGGAGTGACAACTAAGCCACACTGGTTATAGTTTCAGCAGTTTTAGACATTTTCTTACTCATCTCTATTTCGGTCACTCTCATCAAGGCATACATTTTCCTTTTTCTCCTGGATCTTTGGCAGCATTTATAATTTTTTATGAAGCTAGTCAGTATCTGAGTTCTATTTTGATAGTTTAGGGTCTCTGTAGCTGAGGTTAGCCTGGAACTCACTGTCTGTCCATGCTAGCCTCAGACTCCTGTGGGATCCTCCTGCCTCATCCACCTAAGTGCTGAGATTACAGCTGTGAGCCAGCACAGATAGCTAAATTCTGTGTTTCTGTGTTTCTATGTTGTTGCCTCTCACTTGTAGCTTATTTTCTGCTGTCTTACTTTTGTTTGCTACAGGAGAAAACAAAGTTTCATATAGTAAATTACATCTTGATTCTCTTACTCTTTTTGTCAGTTCCTTTTCAAATGATTTTGTGAGTTTTCCAAGATTGTGTTTCCATTCATGTACTTAATGGTTTTTTGTTTATTTGTTTTGGTTTTAGGGTTCTCTTGGGAAACACCTCATTTTGATACACATTTTAATGTGTATCTACGAATGCCTGCCTGGTTCATGTTGGAAGGTGGTGTTGCTGTGCACATGATTTTCAGTTAACAGTCAGTGTGTCAGTTCATTCATCTCTCTTTACTTGTTGGTAAAGAAGGGCCTCAGGCTGCAGTTCCTTTGTAAGTGGACCCTCTTCTATTTTAAAGTGATCCCTGGTTCAACATCTGCATCCCCACCACTTCCTCCATGTTCCTAATCTCTCCTGTGACTGATAGGGCCTATGCTAGATGGTTTATGCTACCCTAAAGCTGCTTCCTGGTTGTCTCCATGTAAGTTTGTGCTGCTGTGGAAACTGCTGGTCTCATCAGTACTGATATTCTGCCCCAGTTTTTATATAACTGCTACCCAGCCTTACCAGGGAAATTTCCAAATTTCTCTGCAGTTTACACTGGTTTGGGACACCTTGTGAATAAGTAGAAATAGGATCATATTTTTCCCTTTTAATGGGCTGATGTCAATGTGCTGCAGTGAGTTACCTGGGACCAGGGCTTGGGTGGTTGAAGGGGTCACCTGCCTAGCTACTATGAGGGAAGAAATATGCTTTTCTTCCTATATGCCTATCTTTTTATCCAAATGATTATTTGGGGATGTGGGTATCTACCTGTTATATTAACAATGCCTGTGACACTAAGTAGTGTTGGCAAAGCCTTGGTAATTCAAGGCCTTGATATTTAAACTTAAATATCACTTGTTCAAAATTTTATTTGTCTTCCTTCCTCTAAAAATCTGCCTGGCATATACTCATATCTCACATGCTTTTTTACAATTCCAGGATTAATTTCTAGCAGTTTTTTTTTTATATTTTACCTTTAAATATGTGTATATGTGTGTCTGTGTGTAGATGTTTACATATGAGTATAGACACCCTTAGAGGTCAGAAGGGAGTATTATATCCCTAGAGCTGGAGTTACAGGCAGTTATGAACTGTCCAGTGTGGGTCCTCTGCAAGAGCAGCAAATGCTCTTCACCACTAAGCGAGCCATCAACCACTCATTGTTTTTTATAGTTTGCATTGCATTGCATCTCAGAGTCTGAAGTCCCTTAAGATGTGATCAAATTCCTCTGTGTTGATGGTACTCTTTGTTTCTTTGTGTGTTTTGGTTTGTTTGTTTGTTTGTTTGAGTTTATTTTCTTGGGTTGCACATCTTGGTTGTCTCCTTGATTAGATTTGTAATCAAGGCCTCTGGAGAGGTCTGACAGGTATTCTCTGGGAAGATTAACTCAAGGAGAAGACCCACATACATAACTAGTATCCTTCCAACTGCCCAGGAATATGGAGATCAGAAGGAAAAGCAATGGCTTTTTGCTGCCTCCCTTGACCCTTGCTCATAAGTGCATATACTTTGCATGTGTCTCTCTGGACAACGTGCTCAGGGGGAACAAGACCACTTCTGACTTATTTCTTCTTGAGCAGCCAGAATCGCTAGGCTGCAACTGAATCTCATGAGTAGCTTAGCGCTGTGCTTGCACCAAAACCATTTTAAAAGTGATTTTAGTATAATAAATCTGAACAAGAACCAAGTCCTACCTAATACATGGTGACTTTCTCAGATTTCAACCCAGTAGCCTTAAATGCTTCCCAGAGTTACTTTACTACTTCAGAGTTGAATCTATGTTCATCCATGTCATGATTATATCTGAGGGTAGCCTGGGTTCCATAATGTATTCAGGACAGTCAGAGATGAGTCCCAGGCCAGTCTGAGCTGCTTATGAAATCCAGGCTAGTCTGGGCCATGTATAAAATTGCTGACCTCCTCTCAAATGGGATTTTGTTGCTGTGAATGAATTTTCAAGTTTACTATTCCTCACTCTCATGTTTTTGACTGATGCTGTAATGCTAAGGTTCAAAAGTAGAAACAGGTTATAAACAGAATGATCCCTCTCCTAAAAATTGTGCATATAAGATATTCATTATTGATACCAGTTAATTGATGTAAACAGTCTAAGAAGCAACCATTGATTTTTCTTCAGAGTTAATTGGAAATGATCAATTACTCTATCAGAAGTGTGGCACCACCTCATTTATCAAATGCTCATTGCCCTAGTGGGCTAAGGTTGCCCTTTTAACATAGGGATGTTGTGGCCCTAAGGAAAGGAGCTAAATCATTACAGTGATGGCTGGTTCCAGCTCTCTGGGAGCTTCATTACTCTTCAAACTGCAGTTAGGTTTTGAATTAAAAGGAGCTTACCATATCTAAAGCCCCACTGTGGTTGTGTCTTTTCACACAGTGAGGGATCTGAACCCCAGCCTGAGACAAGTTCCACATGCAGTGACTGTCTGGTCCAAATTCCCCAGACTCCAAATGGCAGTCCAAATATCCAAAAATGACTTCTTTTCAAAGATGAGAACTATTTCTTGAGTTCCCGAGGAATGTTGGCTTTTCTCTACCCACTGAAAATCCTCCTCTAGCCTAGGTTGAGCTCATGTCTGATAAATGGAAATGCCTTTTGGAGTTTAGGTAATTGGGGTTTCCTTTGGATCTGATAGTGATCACAGGGTTGTGGCATGAAACTGAACTTTTATATTTACATATGATACAAAAGCTTGTCAGGCTCTGAATACCATCTGTGGTAACCTTAGATCCTAGGATTTAATGTGAATTTGGCTTCTACATGATTTTACAAGTCAATTTGTTCTAAAGGCAAATTCTTACCTGTGTTCATCACAGTATTCTTTACGACCCTTCTACATTCAGTGGCAATGTTTTACTCATCTGGTATGCACTCTGTCACTCTGTTGTTGTAATGTGTTAAAAATTATTAAAATCCAATGTCCATAATAAGCTATTTTTGTGTTTTAAAGTGATCTTGCTGGATTGCTCAGGCTGACCTTGCTGGATCTTAGGATTTCTTGGCTCTGTCTCCACAGTAGTGGAGATTATAGATGTGTGCTGTCATGCCTTGCT